CCTACCCGCTACTTGAGTGTTTTTCCTGCTGCAATCCCTCAATGTCACGGCTACAGGTAAGTACCGGCCCTGAGGGCCCAATGAACGAGCAAGTGTCGGGCCACACACACACTCAAGCCGACACGCATGACCACACACACACTCAAGCCAACCAGCACTCAGACAGGCACGGCCACACACACACTCAAGCCAACCAGCACTCAGACAGGCATGCAGTCCAGCAAGCGTGCACACACAGACTTAGTAGCAGGCGGGGAACTCAGCAAGGCATCCAGTCTATGGGCAAAACTCATAAATCAGTCGTGTGTTTCAGTCCATGTTAGGACGGGTCATCAAACTACCCCCCCCTCAAGAGCGAGGTCCCTTCGAGCGAGTAACTCATTCTGAGTCCTCGACAAACGCATCGTAAGCAAGCAAGGCAAAGAGGTTCCTAGAATAATTCGTTGCAGTAAACCTTGTGGAGATCTTAGGAGTAGCGTTAGCTGCAATTTGTCGCTCGTAAGCTTTAACAATGCGTGGTGCGCTGCATAGCAGTTCCTGCTTGGAAATCCAGTACAGATCGTCCAACGGGTGATACATGAAGTGAACCTGGTACTGTCTATTGCGTCCCTTCCGTACGTGTTGTTTAATTCTGTCTATCTCATGCCCACCTTTGATTGCACAAGGGATGATGTCTTCGCGATAATCGAATTTCTTAGCGTCATGGCGGAGGTTTAGTTTTGATGCCTAGAACACAGGATATGTGCACAGATGGGCTGGCACATCAATTACGTACGAAGGGCCAAAGTGATCTTCGTCAATCACATCCAAAACTTCCCACGGACCATAGTAGAGTGGGAGAAGTTTGCGAGAGACTCCCTCTTCTTCTGAAAATTCAGACATCTTGACCCAGACATAGCTTCCTACCTGAATATCCGACGATCGGCGCCTTTTGTTTGCATGATGGATCATGGCGTGTTGCCGCTTGGTCATTGCTGCAATGGCAACTTTGAGCAAGCGATCATACTTGGCCCTGAAGTCAGGCATGCTGGGTGTTAAGCCAGCTGGCTGTTCAGGGAATAGGTGGGAGAGCAGATTACGGATCTGCCAACCGTAATGCAACCTGTTGGGTGTCATGCCGGCGGCAGAATGGATGGAGTTGTTGTACAACCCCTTAACGGAATACAACTCTTCATTCCATGTTTCCTGATCCGGAATAATCAAGGCGCAAAGAAGTTGAAACACAGTCTGATTGATCTCCTCAGCCAAACCATTGGCTTCGGGGTGTCGGCCAGATGTCATACACAGTCTGATCCCTAGTTCAGACGTGAAGTCCTTCCATTCAGTACTAGTGAAGCGCGGATCCCGATCACTCACAAGAGTCTTCGGGGCTCCGAACTGCAGAATGTACTTCTGTTGGAACTCACGGATCACTAGTTCTGTTCGAGTGTGAGGTGGCAAAGGAATCAGATTAAGGAACTTAGAGAATCGGTCAACAATCACCATGACTTGTGAGTAGCCGTTCTTACTTACCTTTCCCATGTCGGTGAAGTCGATGGAGACGGACTCCCCGGGACAGTCGGGAGTGGGAAAGGGTGTGAGTAGCCCCATGGGTTTTTGTCTGCATGGTTTGATTTGTTGACAGACTTGACATTCAGCCACAAACTTTTCAGCAGTCCCTTTCATGCCAGGCCAATCAAACTGTCTCAACAGATTTGCGTACGTCTTTGCCATGCCGAAGTGTCTGCTCCGTCCATGAGCCAAATCCAGAAAGTGCATGCGGAGAGGCTCATGGTTGGGCACACACAAATGGTCGTGGTTCCCGTAGCGACGGAAAATCAGTCCTTTGTTCTCGTGAAAATTGGCCTAACTGCTAGGATCAGTCCGCAGCCGCTCAAGGATGGGAGTAAGTTCCGGATCCTTGGCTGTATGCTCTACGAGCTCCTCCTTCAATTTCTTCCGGAGGTCGTCGGATTTCACAAGGCAAGTCATGTACTCAGGGTGGTGAGACAAAGCATCAACTACTCGGTTATAACAACCCTTTTTGTGCCTTAGTTCAAAGTCGTAAATGTCAATTTCATGGAACCAGTGAAGTAACGTAGGGGACAAGGTAGTTTGCTCTTTAATCCACTTCAGAGTCTCGTGATTTGAGAACACTTTGAAGTGCCGTCCCAAAAGATAGTGCTTCCAATGGTCCAAAGCCATACGCAAAGCATAGAGCTCGCGCATGTAGGTGGAAGTGGCTACCTTTTCGTTGGGCATGCGTTTGCTGTAATATTCAAGCGGCCGCAAGCCATCGCCGTCATCTTGCCGCAGCACTGCGCCGATTTCATATTGACTTGCATCCGTAGTAACTACGAATGCCAGTTTGGAATCTGCAATGTGGAGTACTGGATAACTTACCAAGATGTCTTTCAAGGCTTGAAAGGCGTTCGTGCACGCGGTGTCCCAAGAGTAGGGAACATTTTTTCTTGTCAACCGGGACAATGGACGAGCAACAATAGAGAAGCGGGACACAAACTTCCGATAGTATAACGCGAGACCAAGGAAAAAGCGCAGTTCACGGATGTTCGCGGGCTGAAGCCAATTGCGTATGACTTCAATGTTGGTTGCCTCAGGCTCTAGGCCTGCAACACACAACCGATGCCCAAGATAGATGACGCTATCCTTCCCAAACTCAGATTTCTCTGGGTTGAGATGGAGTTGCGTCTTCTTGAGGATAGTGAGCACTTCCTCGAGGTGCTTGAGGTGTTCCTCCATGGATTTGCTGAAGATTAGTATATCATCGAGGTATACCACCACGAACCGGCCAATCTGTTCGCGGAGGACCTTGTCCATAAGGCTTTGGAAGGTGGCCGGTGCGTTCGTGAGACCGAAGGGCATTACGGTAAACTCGTAAAGCCCATCGCGTGTTTTGAATGCAGTCTTGTGCTGGTTCGCAGGATCAACTTCAATCTGATGGTAGCCAGACTTGAATCGATCTTGGAAAAGACCTTGCACCACCTGCGGCATCAAGCAAGTCATCTATGAGGGGCAATGGATAGACGTTCTTTCTTGTGATGCGGTTTAGACCGCGCGATAGTCAATACACATGCGGAGCTTGCCTCCTTTCTTCGGAACAAACAAAACAGGAGCACCAAGTTCAGACTCACTAAGCTTGATCCACCCTTTGTCAATCATTTCGTCAATCTGTCGCCGGAGTTCCTCCAACTCGTCGGGTCCCATTCGGTATACGCAGCCCTTTGGAGGAACAACACCCTCGACCAACTCGATGGTGTGTCGGACCCATCGCGTGGGGACTCCACGTGGCTCGGCTAGAACTTTCGGGAACCGATTGAGTAGGTTTTGGATGTTTGGTGGAACGGGTGGAGGTGGAGGATCAGCAAAGGGATCACCTAGATCAGGTCGCAGGTTGTGAATAGAGGCGATCGAATCTGAAGTAGGATCATTTGGACTAGTAGAAGGTAGAGAAGTAGAGGTGCTAGAAGTAGAATCACTAGCCGAAGAAGTAGTGGTATTAACCGCAAAAGTAGATGGCACATGGGAAGGACGAGCAAAGGCAAAATACAACTGTTCGTCCTCTTTGTGCTTGCGCGATTTCTTGCAGAACTTTATAGCATTCAGAAAAGTAACTGGGGACTCGTGCTTCTCATCCAGAAGGACGGGAAACTCGTTCCCTTTAGCATTTTTGACCATGAAAAGTGGCTCCTTCTGCTTGGTCCATTCGCATTGGGACTGCAGCCATCCCAAGCCAAGGACAACGTTGAAAGGGCACTTGTCAAGGACATAAAAGTTCAACACGTGTATGACAGTTTTGTCCTTGTCAAAGGTCGTGCGCACACCTTTGACTGCATGCGTAGAAGAGACAACTTCTTTGTTGCCCACTTGGGTTCGACAAGGGTTCTGCAAGGCCACTTGCTTGATTACCAAGCCCGCTTTGCGTATCCCATGAGGTGACATAAAGTTAGCAGTAGCGCCACAGTCAATCAAGACACGGAGATAGCGGTGGTTTATCAGAAGTTTGAAGAAGATCAACTTCACTGTCCCTTGGGCACGCTACTGTTTCATCTCAGCCCAATGCTCCAAGTGGTAATGGAAGTCGACCGTCCCCGACTCCTCCCAAGGCTCGACATACAAAACATTACACACTTCACTCTTGGCTTCAACAAATGATTGGGCTTCAAGGGAGGACTGTTGATTTGCATCAGATTCAGTCTGCCTTGCTGTAGAGGATGCTGAAGTCGACTCTACGCCCGGTGCTGGTTTCCCTGCAGCCGAGAGCAATCCTGTACCTTATGGTTCGGTTTTTGGCAATGTAGGCATACCCCCTTCTTGAGTCTACCTCGCCAATCATTTTCAGTGATCCGAAGATCGACCCATGGTTTAGTGGCCGCATCCTCCGGTTTTGCTGGGATCTTGACTCCTATGGGAAGTTGGACATAGTTCTTCCCTGCACTCCGATTCGGTCCCTTTGTATTGGCAGTCTTTTTAAAGGGAGTGAAATTTTTTCCTTCTTGGTTTGCGTCAGACTCATGGACTGACGAACAGGCCGTATCAGTGTCCTGTTCTTGGTCGTCACCATGAGTGGGGTCATCTGCATCGGCCTCTTCTTCAGCCTCCAGCAAGTCATGCACAACAGAATGGCCGTTGCCTTTGAATCGCCTGCCGCCCATGGGCTTTTTGCTGCCTGCTGTGGAAACAAGGTCTATAGCCTCAAGACTGACTATGTCCTTCAGAAGAGTGAACCGGTCAGTATACCCAATGAAGTCCCTGCCAAGGCGATTAGTGAAACTGGTGGGGACCGCGTCTTTGACCACATCCAAGCAAGATTGGTCAGTTAGTTCTTCTAACCCGGGTGAAACAAACATCTTGCTGAGGTAGGTCTGCAGGCTTTTTATGGAGCCCGTCCACTTGCCGCGTTTAATTTTATCGAGTTGGTTCCTTGCCCTTACTGCAGCGTGTGGATCCATATATTGGGAAATGAGGAGTTCCTCGAGGGAGGCAACCGGGGTGGCCTTAAGCCACCTTGTCAGTTCTATCTTAGGAACCCCAACTCGCGTAGCTTGGACCTTTAGGAAGCCCCATACAACAGGCTCGACATTCATTCCCATGATCACGGACTTGGTCTCAGGTTCAGTCCTCAGAAACTCAAAGTATGCCCTCATAGAGCTGATCCAGGATTCAACGTCTTTTTTGCCGTCATATTTAGATGGTATTTGCAACGCCTTTCGATCCATATAGGGACCGGCGTGGCTGGGACCAGCACCTGCTGGTTCAGATTTTGGGGCTGCTGCAGTTGCAAAATTTCCTGCCTCGTTGCTTTTTACGGCAACAGAAGAATCTGCACCTGTTGCAGGTCCCGATGGGTTTGCCATCACACTCAAGGAAGAAGTAGAAAAATATACGGTAAGAGGGGCAGAGTTAGTTTCAATTGCAACTCTGAAACCAAGAGGTAGACGAAGAGGATTGGCCACTTGGGCTTGTCGCAGCACAACAACCTCTACAGTCAAGTCACGGTACTTGCCGGTCATCTCAATCAAATCCTCCAAAAGTTTCTGCAATTTTGCGAAGATTTCGGCGATCTAAGTGGTATGATCTTCAAGGCTTTAGACTTGGACGATAGCGGTAAGTATGGACTGCAGTTGTTCCCCACACTGCTCTTTGGTCAGCGAGGGGACAGTTTCCAAGATCGCCTCCTGACTTTTCGGCAGCAATTCCTTCCTCTCCTTCTCTGTCTCCTGTTCCCTTTTGAAGTGCTTGCAGATACGGTTTCTCCACATCGTTGGCTGCATCTAACAGGGCTTTCCACTGGATTCAGGTTAGCCGTGGCTGGGCCATTTTCGGATCGTTGTCATCGGCAGGTGGATCGGAGATACGTCAATCAACAAAAGAATCAATCAGACTCTCAAGAGGTACACTCCCCTTTTCGCTTGGACGAACACTCCGTTTCCCAGTCCTTGCCCACCCCAGATGGTCACTTTCCCTCTCTTCCTTTTCTCTCTCCCTCCTCTCTCTCTCTTCTTTCTGGTTGCGAGTCTCCATGCGCATCGGAAATGAACTCAGAGGAACAGATTGAAAAACTCAGAGAAGAGAAGTTAGAACTCCTAGCAGGAGCGACATTTCATTTGGACTTAGAAAGCAGCAAACCAAAGAACAACAAACAAATTCACATGAGAGGCCTGATCCAGCGACCCAGTCTGATCAGACTGCATACGAGATCCTCTCGAGTCCAGTTTGACCGGCTCCATGACCGTGCAGCAAATCAGACAACGAGTGACTAAATGCAACCATGGAGAATTGAGTGGTGTACAGGGTGCAAGTCAAGCCACGAACGATGCAACCAAAAGCATGCTAAACGTCTCGGCCAAGATCCCCTCGGCAGTGCGTGTCCTAACCAACAAGAATAAAACTCTGGACTAATGTCAAACAAATTTGGGTCCAATGGGCTCTTCTTGTATGGGCCCGGTCCCACTGGGTCCCAGAGGGCCCATGTAGGCCGCGACCAGGTCCCAACCAAGAGGAGTGCCACATGGACTCATCTACCGCACCGAAAAACAAAATTTCAACTTCCGGCAGGACCTACAGACTACAACCGTTCAGAGATGAAAAGACAAAGCATTGTAGAAAGACTCGCATTCGATACTTCATTTTCCATCCATCCGGTGAGTAGGTAGATCACACACATTCGATCACACAATCAAGACCACAGAGGAGTAGGAAAAGAAACCCAGAGTAACCCCAGCAGGACAAACCATACCATGCACACATTCATGGGCATCCCGTAGGTGCACGACACTTACTTGAGAGGCCTTGAGCTTCGAGATGAATAGAACTCACCCCCCTCTCATGTGATCCTCCTGACCCCTCTAACGCTACCCCTACACTAGTGTTTTATCTCCCAGGAGGGTCTGACTCCAGCACCAAAGTGCAACGCCATATCCCCCGTCGATGTTGAAGAACAAAGTAGCAACTTGCAGTCCGTAGATGTTGAGTGGCCGCTGACCCTCAAGCTCGCCTACTTGAGGGCAGTCCTTAAGTTGCCAAGTGTCTCCCTTGAATCAGATTCCAGGTGCGAGTGCCTCTCACTGTCACCTCTCTCAAATTGCTGCATGAAGTCTCCTCGAAATGTCTCGCCACCCTGATCTCACTCTCAAGCAACCTGGTTAGTTTCAATGTCGACCCCACATGACCTAACCAGGTGGGGGCAGCTTCCCTTAGCCACGCTGCCCCACTTCCCTTAACCAACCAACCCTAACCCTAAGTGTTGCCCTCAATCACTTAGGTTAGGGTTAGGGCAACAAAGTCAACTCTCACCAGCAAGTAGAATCCGCTCTGATACCAATGTTATGATCCTGACCAATTTCGAGATACACATCCATCAGGATCATAACATTGGCTCTTCTTCTTCACCCAACATTCTCGAGATACACATTGAGAGGAGAGAGAGGATTAGAAGAAGAGCCAATGTGAGGTCCTGACCAATTTCGAGGATCTCGAGATACACATTCGAAGGAGAGGGCAGCACATAACATTGGTATCAGAGCGGATTCTACTTAGGTTCTCGAAATATAGAGAGGATTAGGGTATCCTCTCCTTAGGGTTAGGGTTAGGGTAGGGTTAGGGTTAGGGTAGGGTAGGGTTAGATAAGGGTATCCTCTCAAGGGAATCCTCTCCTCTCCTTAAGGTTAGGGTTAGGGTATCAGAGCGGATTCTACTTGCTGCACATAACATTCAGCATTGGTCAGGATCTCGAAATTTGTCTGCCCAATTGGTCAGGATCTTCGAAGAACATTGTTGGGTGCAGAAAGAAATGAATGATCTTGAGAGGAGAGAGAGGATTAGAAGAAGAAGAAGAAGTAAGAAAGAAGAAGAAGATGATGTACACCAGCACAGACAAATGACAAGGCTCTTCTTCTTCACCC